CCAGCCACCCCTTCCATCCTGCAAATCCCACCGCCCCAAGCTGCTGGGAACCCATGTGGGAGATGCTCGGAGAACCTCCAGTGCAGGATGGACATAAAACCAGTCACGCTGGTCCAGCGCCTAAAGTCATGGGAGCTAAAAGCAGCACCTAATCTCTGACTTACTTATAAATTTTATTCTTAAATTAAAAAATCATGTTTTCTTTTAAAAAAAGAAACTCAAACATCCCACCGCCCCAAGCTGCTGGGAACCCATGTGGGAGATGCTCGGAGAACCTCCAGTGCAGGATGGACATAAAACCAGTCACGCTGGTCCAGCGCCTAAAGTCATGGGAGCTAAAAGCAGCACCTAATCTCTGACTTACTTATAAATTTTATTCTTAAATTAAAAAATCATGTTTTCTTTTAAAAAAAGAAACTCAAACCACATGTTCTGTGAGTTGTCATTAGCAGCAATGAAATTCCTGGGGCATTACATGATACTGTGTTGGTTTAGGATGCTGCTGTTTAAGACAGAGTCTTTGTGTGCTCCTAATAATAGAACTTTTAATTGAACTTATTGAGAATAACTGAACTGAATCTTGTCTTTTAACAGTTGGTGGGCTGGGAAAAACACCTCAGGGCCCTTGTGTTTCCCTCACTAATAGTTCAGCTGTAAAGGAAGGGTCAGTGAAGGAAGCGTGTGGCTCTGTAATTATTAGTACAAGCAGGATATGGGGGAAGAGACTCACAGCTCCTGTTTGCTGCTCTTTTTCTTCAGTTGTGCTCAGCTGTCATCTTCAGGCTTGGGTTTTCCGGCTCCAGAGATAGTGTTTGTCTATTCTGGGGCCGTGTATGGTTGGACTTCCTGAAATCTTTATCCAACTCTTTGGGTCCTGCAGAAAGTCATCAAGCCTCCAGCATGTCATCATCCTTCTTGGCAGGTCCTGTGCAAGACTTGTTCTTAACCATCAGTGCCCAATTCTCAGTGGTGAATGAGGTCGGGTCTTTTGCTTTGAATGGTTTTACTGCTGGAGATTGGGAACTGAAAGCAATATTGTGCAG